TGAATGAATTTCAAATTCCAGATAAGATTTTCATCCAATCAAATCAAGCCACGTGGCATCTCTATCTTGCCAAAATTTTCTATAAAACCAGAGGCTCAACTCATACCTCTCACACCACATCTTTCTATATTTTCATTTCTCAGAGTTTAGAATTCATACTCCATTCATTCTCAATGGAAGATTTTAGGAGATGCTTGGAGAGGCAAGAGTGAGAAAGAAATGAGAGAAACCGTAGAGCAGATGAAATCAATGAGTTGTAGAGACAAATCGATGAACAAGTTGTCATAGCAGTGGCTTTGCAAGATGAAGAGAACCAAGGTCGCCGCCGTGGTTCACAAGTCGGCCGCCGCCGGAATGTCGACAGACATAGGCATTCTCGGGGTAAGAATCTTTTGGAAGATTATTTTATCCCAACTTCTTTGTACTCTGATGTTGATTTTCAAAGGCGATTTAGAATGCAACCCCATTTGTTCAATAAAGTCATGCATGATATTTGCAATCATGATGCATACTTTGTTCAAAAGTGTAATGCTGCTGGGGTTTTGGGACTTTTTCCGGAGCAAAAGCTTACAGCTGTTATACGAATATTGGCGTATGGAGTATCTGCTGATCAGGTGGATGAGATTGCCCGGATGGGGAAGTCCACTACGTTGGAGGCTTTGGTAAGATTTTGCGATGCAGTTGAAACTCTGTACACTAGGGACTACTTGCGTAGACCTACTCCCAGGGACCTCCAACGGCTTCTACAAAAAGCCGAAGCTCGAGGATTTCCAGGAATGATTGGCAGCATCGACTGCATGCACTGGCAATGGAAGAATTGCCCAACTGCCTGGCAAGGTGATTACGGAAATAGAAAAGGCAAAAAAAGTATCATCCTTGAAGCCGTTGCTGGCTACGACACATGGGTTTGGCATGCCTTCTTTGGAGTTGCTGGATCCCAAAATGGCCTTAACGTGCTGGGTCAATCCCCGGTCTTCAACGAGGTTTTGAGAGGCCAAGGCCCCAATATCACCTATCAAGTCAACAATAAAGTTTAGCAGACGGGGTATTATCTAGCTGACGGCATCTACCTGAGGTGGACCACATTTGTCAAATCCATTCCGAATACCTGATCCCAGAAGCAAAAATTATTTGCTACCTATCAAGAAAAATGCAGGAAAGATGTCGAAGGGTGTTTTGGCATCCTTCAAGCTCGGTGGTTGATTATTCGAGGTGCAGCCTGTATGTTTGATGAGAAGGTCCTTAGAAGCATTATGATGACTTGCATCAGCCTCCATAATATGATTGTGGAGGATGAGTATGATTATGAAGCTGCAGAGGTGTACGAACCGGATCCCATGAACACGACCTTGACACGAATTTATGAAAGGCCCATGGGGCCAAATGGAGAACCGTTTGAGCCGGACCCGTTGGTTAGGGATGGTCGTTTCATGACCCGTATGATAGATCGATATACAGAGATGCAATCTTCGTATATTCATGAAAGGCGTCAACTTGACTTGATGGAGCATCTATGGGCGGTGAAAGGCAATGAAGAATAGATGCTTTGGTTAGGTTTTATTTATTTATGGTTTGGTTGTGTTGTTTTTTATTTATTATGGTTTGGTTGTGGTTTGTTATTATTATTGTGCCTTGTTTGTAGTTTTTTTTTATATTTTAATTATGTTTTGTTTGATGTATGGAATATGTTGAATAAAAAGGTCTTTTATTGAATGCTTTGTTTATTAAATAAAGAAATCCAATACAAGTCATTAAGAATTACTACTACTAAAATAAAAAACATGAATTACAACAACTTGAATAGAAAACATGAAAAAATACAAAAACATAAAAGGTATGCCAACTAATTTAATGGTTTTCATCATTTAACCAATCCGTGTTGCTAGGCCCATCATCTTGGAAAAGTCTTCTTCTTCTCATAACATCCTTCTCATAACATCCCTGCTTTCTAGCTTCCAAAATTGTTTTGTTTCAGGGGACATATGGCTTGTATCCATCACCATGGTTTCCCGATCCGTCTTCTCCCTATCTTTTTTGCGCAAATACTTTATTTCGCGTGAAAACTCGGCTTGAATTGCCATCTCGTTATCTTGGCGTTTCTGCTCCATTTCAATTCTTATGGCATTCTGCCTTGCAATTTCCTCCAAAAACTTTGAATTATTATTGCTTGAATTACCCGCTTTCCTTTCCTTCGTAGCCTTTCGGCCAATGGGCCTCGGCTCCTTTTCGATGGGTGAGTCTTGACTCATAGGAGAATCGAGAGGTGAATCTGATGTCGTTGAATCACGGAGTGGCGTCTCGTTTAACACAACGGCAGGACCCGTGGGAATAATTATGAAGCGTTCGCAATATTTCACCACCTCCCAACATTCATGATGGTTGAAACTTTTTTTGCCACCCCCGGTTGCACCGAACCACATCTGTGCTTGAATAATCTATTTAACAAAAAAATGGAAATGCAAGAAATATTTAAAATATATTGGATATGCAAGTAACAAAAAAAATAATAATGGAAATGCAATTAACCTTACAAATAAATTCGAAGTGCAAGAAATATTAAGAAACAATTGGAAATGCAAGAAATATTAACAACATATTGAAAATGCAAGAAATATTAACAAAATATTTAAAATGCAAGAAATATTAACAAAATATTGAAAATGCAATAAATATTTAAAATATATATATATTAGGGCATTAAACTTAATAAAACGAAAATTACAAAATACTTACCTCGTTAGTACGATTTTCCCCGCTTCTATAGTTGTCCATCGCTTTTGCCAAGGCATCTCTCCATTTTCCCAACTCTTTATTGAGAATTTTCCACCTACTAGACAATGCCATTTCCGTACGAGTCGACCCCGGAATTTTTTCACAAAATTGGGCATGAATTTTTTTCCACATGTGAAAAAATTTCATCTCATTGCCTGTCACAGGACAATGACAAACTTGGAGCCAAGCCTCACACAAGGAAACATCTTCCGTGGTGCTCCATGCCCCTCCGGTTTCAATAGAAGAAGCCATAAAAATAAGAAGAAAAAAAAACAAGGTGAAAGAGAGGAAAATGTTGAGTAAAGAGTGAATAATAGTAGAAGTAGAATAAAATGTATGAGGATTGGTGTTGAAAGTGAAGGGTATTGATAGGTATTTAGAGAAAAAAAATAAAAATCAGAATTTTTAAATATTTTTTTAAAAAAAATTCGATTTTTTTCATAATTTTATTGCCAAAAAAATGCCAGCCGTTGGATTGGATTCGGAGAAGCAGATCGGAGCACTGGGGGCGTGACACGTGGCTTCTACCCGTTGGAGCTTGCGTCGTGCTGACGTCAGCGCACGCTGGTTTAAATTTTTTTTAACGTTGATGCGTGACGTTACCCAACATGCGGGTTCGACCTCGGGTTGAATTGGCCTTTGGGCCAGCCCGACTTCTTGGGACCCACTCCCAGCCCAGACTTGGGCTGACTGCTGGAACATCATTTTTTCTTACCCCCCCCCAAGCCTTGGGCTCAGCCCTCCGCTGGAACTGCTCTAATCATTCTTCAAGCTCAAATGCTCTTCCAAGCCATCAAACCAAATATCTTCCAAGCCACTAAGCGCAACTCCAATCCCTTTATTTGTTTTTCGAGCCCAAAAAATAAAATTTTAATTGGAATTTATATAGAAAAATAATTAAAAATAATATTAATGCTAATCCAGTCCAAAACAGGACCGAATCAGAATTAGTTCAAACCAAACCGGCTAGTTTTATAATTTGTTTCACTAAAATTGGACCAAACCACAGTTGTACCCACCCCTACTAGCTACAACGTCCATTACAAGTTATTTACAGTGTGTGAGATGTACTTAAATTTTGACCTCCAGTCTCTCACCCTCTGTGTGCTCTTTTATATATATATATATATATATTTATATAGCGTTCATGAACTTTGTTTCTTACAGAGCAAAAGTTGGCCTACATACCAAAAATTCAAAGTCAGACATTCTTTTTCTTTTCTCATTTGCATTTGGTTGAAAATTGAAATGTGAGGACCATGCTTGCAAGGCTTGTCTTATGTTTGCATCCTGTTTACTTCTTTTCTTGAGCTCTGTTATTTAACAGGTTTCAAATTTCTTTCTAGTTTCTACTATTATATATTAACATCACAACTACAAAAATAGAAAAAGACGACAGTAAAACAACGACAGAAGAAATAAATACCGTCGTTGTGTTTAGAAAGACGACAGTAATAGAAAACCGCCGTGGACCAATAACTTAAACACCTCAAAAATCCAGATGCGTTGTGATATTTTTAAAACACGACGCCTCAACCTTAAAAAGCATCGTCTTATGAAACATGTTATTTCCCGTTATGTAAACACTTAATCCTAAACAACGACAGCAGGTATAAAGCTACCGACGTAGACATTAAAGAGGACGTTTTACCTAGACTGCTGCCGTGTTAACTTGTACTTAACCACGACGGTAATTGTCGTCTTGATGACGTATGTAGTACTCTTATACTACAACGGTAGTTATAAAATTACTGTCGTGTAAGGTTATAGTCAACCACGACATAATGATGACACCTAAATTTAAACATATCCACGTCACTCTTTTACTATTTTACGACGTATTAAGTTAGTACACCACGACGGTCTTTGTAAATAAACGGCCGTGATAAATGTAATTTACCACGTCGTTATTGTAGAATATAGCGTTCGAGTTTATTGTACCTAACCATGGCGGTTTCTTGATAATGAGCGTCGTATAATACTATAGGAATCCACGTCGCTAATTTTGTAATAAGCACCGTATTAATTTAATATACCACTGCCATAAAAATAAATTCATGACGTATGGGAAGAAAGTAAAAGTCTAAATTTAAGATTTAATTTCTGTTTTTTTGTAGCCCACGACGACAATAATTGGAAATACCATCCTTTGTATTTCCGTTATACAATGGTCGTTCTATAACTACTGTCGTATGAAATTTGTATTGCTTTTTAAGATTTAATTTATGGGGTTTTTAGCCTACGATGACGGTTGTTGGAAATAGCATCGTCTGTATTTCCGTTATAAGATGGTCGTTTTGTAACTACCGTCGTCTGCGTAATTCTTTTTTAAGATTTATTTTCTGGGCTGAATTTGTATGGCCAAATAAATGACGGTAGACCAACAAAATGACATGTAAATACGTAAAAACACGACGGTTTATATAAAAAACTGTCGTCCGCGATATAATTTTTAGGCTTATTTACTAAATGTACTAAATGAAATTGTCAGAGAAAGGCAAAGGAGATCCCAAGAGATATGAAATCGTACCAGTGGGAGCTATGTACTAAATTAGCGTTCCTCATCACAATCGAACCACCAATTTGAGAAAGACAATATTTTGAATGTTGGCGATGTATGTGTCATCAATCCGGACCTTCAGAGAGGTGAGAGAGACACATACATACCAACATTAAAATTATTGCCTCCCACCCAACTCCGGACCCTTAGAGAGGTGAGAGAGAGCCAAGGCCTAAAGTGACGACGGCAGCCAAGGGCCAGAAGTATGCGAGTTGATTTCCAGTTGGTACCTTAAGTGAAAAGTGAAAGTGAAAGAACGCATGAAGAGCCCCAATTGAACCCAATTTATCTTTACATCCAAATGGGTCCCACTAATTTTCAACCTTACTTGCCTAATTTTTAAGGAAAGAAATAATCCATATTAATTCCCAAACGACGACGGTAGTAGATACGTACAGACGTCTTAACGGACTACAACGGCAGTAAATAGATAATTGACGTCTTCGAAACTCCAAACAACTTCTATCTTTACCAACCTATCGACGTTTTAATTGACTACGACGACAATAATTACATAATCAATGACGTCATCACGCAAAACAACGTCACTTTTAACAACTACAGGTTGTCTTAAGGGACTACGATGGCGGTAATTACATAAACAACGATGTGGTAATTCTGAACAATGTCGCTCTGTACCACCTATCGACGTCGTAGGGGATTACAACGGTGAAATATAGATAAAAGACGCCATTGTACTGACCT